GGGGTGCCGGGTGTGTTGATCAAAGGAAAAAGATGGCGGCCCAGGATTTGGGGAAATGTCTCCAGATGTTAGGAGAAGCAGAAGGGTGAGGGAGATAATATGAGAGTATGAATTATATGGAGGGATAGGTTCCAGTGTCCTGGAGGTTTGGTGTGGGTTCAGAATTATCAGGAGTTGATGAGTACAGTAATAAGGTGAAGAAAGGAGTGAGGGTGATATATATAAGCTCTGGGGTGGTGAAGGAGAGAGAGTTTGAAGAGAGAGGACACAACTGTGAGAAGGAGGAGTAGGGAGGGCATGTTACAGAGTGGTAAGCTGAAGAAGCAAACTGGATAAGAGCTGAAAGAGCTGGATGAGGAAACAAGTCACCTGTAGTCTGATTAGTATTTGAAGTTGTCTGCTGTTGTTTCTCGCTTTGTGCATTCACTGAAGTGCAGAGCCGAAGTGTAATACTTAATCCATGATTAATACTTTATCCATGATGATAGTTGCCAATGCTACCCATGGCTGTGTTGCCCCTGGCTGTGCCTCCGCTAAGGAAGGCCTAAATTTATACTGAGTTTATACTATCAGTTCCCCCTTCATTACAAGTCCCTCTATCAGTGTCCCCCTTATTAGAAGTCTCTGCATCAGTGACCCCGCACATTAGAATTTCCTGCATCAGTGCCCCACTCATTAAAGATTCCTCCATCAGTGCCCCCTCCTTAGAATTCCTTCCATCAGCATCCCCCTCATTAAAGATCCCTTCATCAGTGCTCCCTCATTAGAAATCCCTCCATCAGTGCCGTTCTCATTAGAGGTCCTTCCATCAGTTTCCCCCTCATTAGAGGTTCCTCCATCAGTGCCCCCCTCATTAGAGGTCCAGCCATCAATGTCCTCCTCATTAGATGTCCCTCCATCAGTGTACCCCTCAGTAGTATTCCCTCCATCAGTTCTCCCCCTAATTATAAGTCCCTCCATCAGTGTCCTCCATATTAGAGGTCCTTCCATCAGTGCCCCCTCATAAGAAGTCCCTCCATCAGTGCCCCCCTCATTAGAGGTCCCTCCATTAGTGCCCCCCTCATTAGAGGTTCTTGCGTCAGTGTTGCTCTCAATACAGGTCCCTCCATCAGTGCCCCCCACATCTGAAGTCCCTGCATCATTGTCCCCCTTATTAGAGGTCCTTTCATCAGTTTCCCCCTCAGAGGTCCCTCCATCAAAGTTTTGGGTATATTGTACTGGGTAGGAAGTGTCGGGGGTGAGATGTGTTACGTAGCAAGTGTTAGGTGAGATGTATTGGGTAGGAATTATTGTTTGGGATGTATAGGGTAGGAAGTGTTGGGTGTATTGTGTTGTGTGGGATGCATTGGGTAGGAAGTATTCGATGGGATGTACTGGGTAGGAAATATTGGGTAGTATACTGTATGTTGGGTGAGATGTATTGGGTAGGAAGTGTTGGGTATTATGTGTTAGGTGGGATGTATTGGGTACCAAGTATTGGGTGAGATGCGTTGCATAGGAAGTGTTAGGTGAGATGTATTGGGTAGGAATTGTTGGGTGGTATGCATTGGGTAGGAAGTGTTGGGCAAGATATATTGGGTGGGAAATGCTGGGTGAGAGGTGTTGGAAAGGAAGTGTTGAGCAGAAAGTTTTGGGTGGATTATATTGGGTAGGAAGTGTTGGGTGTGATGTATTGGGTAGAAAGTGTTGGGTGTGATATATTGGGTAGAAAGTGTTGGGTGGGAAGGATTAAGTCTGATGTGTTGGTTAGTATGTGTTGGGTGGGATGTATTTGGTAGGAAGTGTTGGGAAGTATATGATGGGTAAGATGTATTTGGGAAGGAAGTGTTGGGTAGATTGTATTGGGTAGGAAGTGTTGAGTGAGATGTATTGGGTAGGAATTGTTAGGTGGGTGGGATGTATTCAGTAAGAACTTTTGGGTGGGATGTACTGGGTAGAAATTTTTTGGGTAGGATAGGATTGGATAGGATTTTATGGGTATTTTGTGTTGTGTAGAATATATTGGCAGTATTGGGTGAGATGAATATATACAGTAGGCAGTATTGGGTGAGATGTATTGGGTAGAAAGTGTTGGGAAGGATGTACTGGGTAGGAAGGTTTGGGGTATTGTGTGTTTGGTGAGATGCATTGGGTAGGATGTGTTGGGTGAGATGTATTGGTTGGGAAATGTTGGATGAGAGATAATGGGTAGGAAGGTTTTGGGTATTATGTGTTGGGTGAGATGTGCTGGGTAGGAAGTTTTGGGTAGATTGTATTGTGTAGGAAGTGTTGGATGAGATGTGTTGGGTAGGAAGTGCTGGTAAAAAGTATTTGGTAGAAGTTTTTGGGTTAGGAAGTGTTGGTGGGATGTATTAGGTGGAAAGTGTTGGGTAGTACTGTATATGTTTGGCGAGATGCATTGGGTAGGATGTGTTGTGTAGGAAGGCTTTAGGTGAGATGTAATGGGTAGGTAGTGTTGGAAGAGATATACTGGGTAGGAATTTTTTGGGGGGATGTACTTGGTAGGAATTTTTGGGGGGAATGTATTGGGTAGGAAGTGTTGGGTGGGATGTATTGGGTAGGAAGGATTTAAGTATTATGTGTTTGGTGAGATGCATTAGGTAGGAAGTGTTGGGCGAGCTTTATCAGGTAGGAAATGCTGGGTGAGAGGTATTGGAAAGGACGTCTTGAGCAGGAAGTTTTTGGTAGATTATGTTGGGTAGGAAGTGTTGTGTAAAATGTATTGAGTAGGAAGTGTGGGTGAGATGGATTGAGTAGTATGTGTTGGGTGGGATGTATTGGGTAGAAAGTGCTGGGTGGGATGTACTGGGTAGGAAGGTTTTGGGTATTATGTGTTGGGTGAGATATATTGGGTTGCATGTATTGGGTGAGAAGTATTGGGAGGGATGTATTGGGTAGATATTTTTGGGTCAGATATACTAGAAAGGAATTTTTGGGTGGGATGTATTGGGTAAGAAGTGTTAGGTGTTTTGTGCGATGTATTGGGTAGCATGTATTGGGTGAGATGTATAGTGTAGGAAGTGTTCAGTGAGGTGTATTGGGAGGGAATGTTGGGAGGGATGTATTGGGTAGAAATGTTTAGGTGGGATGTACTGGGTAGGAACTTTTAGGTGGGATGTATTGGGTAGTGGGTGTTGGGTAGTATATGTTGGGTGAGATGTACTGAGTTGGAAGTGTTGGGAAGGATGTATTTGGTAGGAAGGTTTTGGGTATTATGTCTTGGGTCAGATGAGTTGGGTAGGAATTGTTGGGTGAGATGTATTAAGTAGAAAGTGTTGGGTTTGATGTATTGGGTAGGAATTTTTGGGTTGGATGTAATGGGCAGAAAGTGTTGGGTATTATATGTTAGGTATGACTTATTGGGTAGGAAGTATTGGGTGAGATGTGTTGCATAGGAAATATTGGGTGAGATTTATTGGTTAGTAAGTGTTGGGTGGGATGTATTGGGTAGGAAGGCTTTGGGTATTATGTGTTCGGTGGGATGCATGGGCTAAGAAGTGTTGGGGGAGATGTATTGGGTGGGAAATGCTGGGTACACCAATGACGTCAAGCCGCAAACCGGAAGTGCACGTGCCGCCATTTTGGAAAAGGGATTCCTGTACATACTGTATAGTAAGTTTTACCCTGTAGTGTCCCAGGTGGACACTTTTAACTGTGAGTTAATTTTGAGAATTTTAATAAAGCTTGTTTTTTAACTGGCAATAGTACACTATGTGGAGTATTTTTTCCTATGTTTGTGGCGCGTTCTGGAGAGTTTATAGTGCTGACGGTGGTGAAGATCTATGTACCAGAATACCCTCCAAGGTCAAAGGGCAAAGCGTAGTTTGACCTGGCATTACAAGTCAACCTGGAGGTGAGCGCAATAGTGTGTTGAAGGTGGATGTACACGAAGAGGTGACACAGGAGCACCATACACGTGTATGCAGTAGTGTGATTACACTGATCCACTTGGAGTACCTTGGATTTAAAGGGACGGTTTACCATTGTTTGGAGATTTTTGTTGATGGTGTATTTGGAGCACAATATATAGGAGACATACCGCACAAACACACGTGAAGATTTCTGAGACTTAAAGGGACAGTTCACTATTAAATATAATTTATTTGGTTTTTATATCTATATTCATTTCAGCACTCATACAGTATGTGCAAGTCTATGGTGATTTATGTGTATACGTTAAGAATACATTGAATGTAGCACATATTTATTGTCACATACACAATTTCTGTTTCAGTATTCATTTATGCATGTTTGTATTATGAGCACCATTTGAGTTTATATTGCTGCACTGCAGTTTTCATTTGATTTACTGTTTACATGTGGGAACACATTCTATGCTAGCTGCACAATTTTTTTATAGGAAGTTTATTGCGCTGAAGATTTTTTATACATATAGGTATTGGAAAGGAAGTGTTGAACAGGAAGTTTTGGGTAGATTACCGTATTTTTCGCTCCATAAGATGCACTTTTTTCCCCCCAAAAAAGGGGGGAAAATGTCAGTGTGTTTTATGGAGCGAATATGGAGCAGCCGGTCTGGTATTTCCACCGCCGCCATGTCAGAATACTGGGCTGGCCGCTCAGCTCTTCTCTGCAGTAGAACCGTACCTGTTCCTCGGTCCAGCGCTGCGCAGTCTTCCCGCGGCAGCTTCTTTAGTGTGGGCTCTAGGCTGTGACAGCCGGGTGCCCAGTGCGGATGCGTGAGAAGCGCAGCGCTTTGTGAATGGTACGGCGTCTTCTGGGACACGACAGGTCCCAGAAGACGCCGGACCAATCACAAAGCGCAGCGCTTCTCGCGCATGCGCACTGGGCACCCGGCTGTCGGCCGGGTGCCGACACTAAAGGGAGGATAACTCCGCGGAAGTGGGAGCGGGTACCTGTCAAATTCAGGTACCCACTCCCCCTCTCTCCCCAAAGGTCAGCAGTCTCCTAGTCATCCCCTGTACTGTCTGCAGTCTCTGGTCATCACCTGCACTGTCTACAGTCTCTGGTCATCTGTACTATGTCCGCAGTCTCTGATCATCTCCTGTACTGTCTGCAGTCTTTGGTCATCTCCTGTACTGTATGCAGTCTCTGGTCATCTCCTGTACTGTCTGCAGTCTCTGGTCATCTCCTGTACTGTTTGCAGTCTCTGGTCATCCCCTGCACTGTCCGCAGTCTCTTGGTCATCCCCTGTACTGTTCGCAGTCTCTGGTCATCTCCTGTACTGTGTCCACAGTCTCTGGTCATCCCCTGTACTGTCCACAGTCTCTTGGTCATCCCCTATACTGTATGCAGTCTCTTGGTCATCCCCTATACTGTCCGCAGTCTCTTGGTCATCCCCTATACTGTCCGTAGTCTCTTGGTCATCCCCTATACTGTCTGCAGTCTCTTGGTCATCCCCTATACTGTCCGCAGTCTCTTAGTCATCCCCTATACTGTCCGCAGTCTCTGGTCATCCCCTGTACTGTCCGCAGTCTCTGGTCATCTCCTGTACTGTCCACAGTCTCTGGTCATCTCCTGTACTGTGTCCACAGTCTCTGGTCATCTCCTGTACTGTGTCCACAGTCTCTGGTCATCTCCTGTACTATGTCCACAGTCTCTGGTCATCTCCTGTACTGTGTCCACAGTCTCTGGTCATCTCCTGTACTGTGTCCACAGTCTCTGGTCATCTCCTGTACTGTGTCTGCAGTCTCTGGTCATCTCCTGTACTATGTCTGCAGTCTATTGGTTCAAAATATTTTTTTTCTTGTTTTCCGCCTCTAAAATCTAGATACTTCCTATGGTCAGGTGAGTCTTATGGAGCGAAAAATACGGTATATTGAGTAGGACATATTTGGTAAAATGTATTGAGTAGGAAGTGTTGTGTGAGATGTATTGGGTGGGAAATGCTGGATGAGAGGTATTGGAAAGGGAGTGTTGAGTAGGACATTTTGGGTAGATTATATTGTGTAGGAAATGTTGGGTAAAATGTATTAAGTAGGAAGTGTTGGGTGAGATGTATTTGGTATTATGTGTTGGGTGGGATGTATTGGGTAGAAAGTGCCGGGTGAGAAGTATTGGGTCTAGTGTGTAGGGTAGTGTGTGTTGGGTGGGATATATTGGGTAGGAAGGTTTTGGGTATTACTTGTTGGGTAAGAAGTATTAAATAGGAAGTGTTGAGTGGGAAGTACTGGGTAGGCCCTGGGCTGCAGGATCCTTATCAGAACCTATTAAAATGTGAGAAACCAAAAAAGATTGTTTACTCCATAACATATACAGATCCTGGAGCCCCTCACCATGTGGAGGTTGAAATGAGGTTGTGCCACAGATTTCCAATTTGGAGTACATACATTCTTATGTAGTCTATGCATCCTCATTTTCTGCATCAGGTTATTGTGAAGAACAGATGTACATAGGCATATTACTGTATGTCACCAGCATACAGATGTGAATTTACCTCCTCATGCAGATCGATCATCCTGCCTTTCAGGAACCCATGCTGAGTCTACGTTATTAGATTATGTTTTACTGTATATTTTTGTGTATTACCTTTTATTATACCTTCAAATTACTTACACAATAGAAGGCAGTCATAAAGTCAACCTGTCATAAACCTAAGTAATTCAAACAGAGAGTATGATTGCTGCTTATGCATTCTCCATCAGTTTAAATTGCCCAGTTTTCTGACAGATTTACTTTAATATTATATCATTTGCCGGTTCTAGCATTGCATATTTTTTAAATAATAGCACAACTTCAGCTGTATGCCAGTCTTTTCGAGATGACCCAGTTAAAATACAGAGGTAGAAAATAGGATTAAGAAGTCTATCAATTACTGAGTTTAAAGTGAACCGACCAGCCATTTTTAAAATTTTTAAATCTAGAAGCTTTGACCAAATGCAGGCTGCACACAAGGTGCCTGTAATTACCTTTGCAAAATCCACATTTGTGCTCCACTCTGAAACTAGTTTTACATGCCTTTGGCACTAAACCCTTCCCCAAAGCTAAGCCCAGAGAAGTCAACTACTAGGTAACTAAGTGAAAACAGTTTCTAGGTGGTACTGTTAGGACCTGTTCATTGGTAATGAATGCGCTGCAACACTTTTTCATAGCTCACAACTCTCCCTCATTTGGGATAGGATAGGAGGGATTGTCCTTTGAGGGATTGTCCCTCTTATGTCCCTCATGCAGCCTCATTTGTCTATCTTTTTGGACTGATATGTACATCTCTATACAATATGTACTATTTTACTGCCAAAAGAAACCCAACCTACATACAGTATTATTACATTTGTTTGTTTATTGAAATGCCAATATAAAAGAAAAAAAGCGGTCAAAAAAACAATTGTGTGGTTTTGCTGATGATTTTCTGCATATTAGATCATTTCAGAAAGTTGGAAGCTATGTGCACGTTTTATTTTCCCCAAGATACACTGCAGATGAACAGTGTGCATTGGGGTGTACTGCAGTGAGCTGTAGCACAGGTGCGCTGTGTAGATTAATTGGGGTGACATTCCAAATGATACTTTAACACCACAGCATCTTTGTTTCGTTTGTGGGTGTTCTGGTAAAGCACATGCAGGGGTGGACTGACAACTAATGGGGCCCCTGTGCAATAGGGGATCATGGGGCCCCTGTGTCCTTGCCCAAACTCAAAAAAGCCTATGAAAAATGTACCAGGGGCATCTCATGGGGCCCCCCTACTGACCCCAGGCCCTTGGGCAGTTTCCAAATGGTCAGTCCGCCCCTGAGCACGTTACTTGGTGGTGTGAACAGGCCCTTAGTCATGACTTAACGTTTAACATTTTATAACATTTGAAAGGTTACATTATGTCACACAAAGATGAATGTCTTCAGGGCAGGGAGTTTTATCTAAAGTTTTAAAGATGTAGCTGAACCTACGGGTAACATTAGTTACATGCTTTTATCATATTGTCTAGCAGTGGCTATTTCTTTGTGAAGGCAGATGGAAAAAAAAAAATGATTATTAAATTACTTGTGCATCTTTCTATATTATCAGATGTCTTTTTGATATTGTTTATTTACTATGTGCAAAATGTAAAAAATTGTAATGTCATCAGCAATCGCTTTGAAATTCAGTCTTACAAAATTTTCTTTTTTTCACACTTTTTTACTATGTTTCTTATATCATTTTCAGAATCTTGAACCTGTAGAAATATTAATACTTTCCCAATAAACACATGTATCTAAAACGTTCTAAAAAAGCCTTATTTGTGTATAAACATTTTAAATATTTCCATGTGGCTTTTGTGTATGTGACAATTCACATTAATGATACGATCAGAAAATCGTACAAAAAAAATACCGCTTTCAAAGCGATTATGCGATAATCTGATCATTAGTACACAGCTTTCATCCGAAATTATTCAAAAGGACAAACGTGAAAATTTTTTCCATACAATAGAGATCATATGATTTTTTTTAATCAGTATAGTATTCATTCTAAACAAATCGGAAGAGCAAGACCATTCTTTCTCAGAAACAGTAGAATACATTACAATACAATACAATACAACACATGACATCACTTCAGTCGTACAAGAATTTTCAGAACTTTAGCAACCCCTTCATTCCGATATGAGACTAGCATGCAAACAAAAAAAAAACAGATGATCATTTGTCCAATTTTCTCACCGTGTGTAACAGACTTTAATTGCTCCTTTTGATTTATCTAGACCAGTGTTTCTCAACCTTTTTTCAGTCAAGGCACCCTTTGAAATTATGGACAGTCCCTAGGCACCCTTTAAAATTATGGAGAGTCTTGAGGCACCCCAATCTAAAATGGGGTGCCTCAAGACTGTCCATAATTTTAAAAGGGAATCCCATTCTAAAATATGAAAAACTATTCTAATAGTTTTATATAACGCAGCAACATCCATACATGTAGGACACCCAACCTTAGAGGTGATTTATTCTTCTTTTGCACACTGGAGTAGTATTCCAATGTTTCTTTTCTTCCTCAGTTTTTCTCCATCACTGAGCTAATGTGACCCCATCACTGATAAAGAGGGAAAGGGGAGGGTCAAACTAGGATGCTGTTCAGGCAGCTGACATCCTCCTTATCAACTGATGATGTCATTGGTTGTCAGGACACCGGCAGCTAGAAGGTCCCAATGGTTCACAATGAAAACCTGGGACTTTGTGTAACTGAAAGGCAGGCTCGTTCCATCCGCTGGCTTGTATACATGTTTTGGGAAATTTTTTAGACATTTTGCCAAGGCACCCCTGAAGAAACCTCAAGGCACCCTGGTTGAGAAAGGCTGGTCTAGACTTTGCTTTTCTAAAAATATTAGCTTGTGCTGTCCTTTGATTAATACTTTATTGAATAGCAAGCAATTCTAACCATTATATGGTAACATTTGATCTAAGAGTCCATTCACACTTGTGCAACTTGCCATACGTCAAGTCACACCCCATGTTTCACAATGAGTACCATTCAAATCTGTGCAACTTCAAGTCACAGCAACTTGAAAATAGTTTCTGCACTACTTTGGTACGACTTTTGATGTGACTTTAGTCCAGTAAATGTAATGTCAAATTAAAGTTGCACCACAACTCACATCAAAGTTGCTCTCCAAAGTCACACTGGAAATTGCGCGATTCTGGAGATGCGCTAATGTGAATGGAGCCTAAGTGTTTCCAGAACTCTACAAGATATAATATCTGATCTCAGAAATTTCAAAATGTAGCAGTTTAGCAACGGTTTTGTTCTGTAATATGGATGTCTGAATTCTTTATTCCAACCACTAGTTCCAAAGACCATTAATATCATGAAATATCCATAATAAGGACACCATTTTTGTTTGTGGCATGGGCAGTTGAAAAGATGAGTGCCGGGAATAATATATATTTTTTTTTAATATAATGGACCAGCTTGGTTACATTAATGTGTCACATCCAGATGGTTACTAAAGTTCACTGTAGTAGTCTATGCTCACCAGTCATTGCTGTCCTGTTTCAGGCCCTGCTGGCACAAATTGCCATCTGTACACTGAACACAGGGAGTTGTTCACTCCCATACCTTGATATTTTGCGAAAAAAAGGTTATGGTTTTTTTTTTCAAATACAATTCGTTTTCAAAATCGATGAGGTGATGGTCATGACATCATCCATCCCTACTGTCCACCTTGTTCAGGTGAGCGTCTTGCATCCACTGAAAAAAACAACACGATGTTTGCTGAATGGTGGAGGTACAGGAGTGAACAACTCCATGTGTTAAAAAGCACCAGGAACAGGACAGCACTAAACACTACAGTAAATTTCAGCATCCACAGTGTTCCATCCATGTGTGATAATTGCATGTAACCAAGCTGACCCAATGTAAAAATAGATCATTGCTAGATTTCAGCTTTAATTGACATAACAATTTCAAATCCTGTTTATTATTTTCCTTGTGTTTTCACTCACACAGACGTCATACTGTCACAAGATCACTAAATAACTTTCTTTAGACTCCATTCACACTTGTGCAACTCCAAAATCACA